GAGTTTGAAATAATTGGTACAGCAACATTTTCACTAAGTCTTGAAAAACAGGTTTTGTAGAGGTAATAAAATACACTGGCCAGCTAAATTTATCAATTTCGAAGCACTCATTTTTTTCTCTCATTTTTATCTATATGTAGAAGGATACAACAGTTTTTAAGAATGCAGACAGAAACTCCACCAGACTTCTGTGTCTCCTTTGAACTATCTCAAGCAATTTAAAAACAGTGGATTTGATCTGACACTTCAAATTGCTTCCGATATTAAAGATTTGATTTGAAAGACTGAATAATTCTTTTAAAAATTCATAAAGTCTTATTTTTTACACAAGTGCTTCATTATTTTCAGATCTTCATCATTCTTCTAATCTACATTTTAAAAGAAACTTCGAATTTAAGATTGTGACAACACAGCAATCATGTTTGGCATGTATGGTATAATAATTTAATAGAATTAGTCACAGTGATATATTTACAGTGAATTTCTCTAAGATCCTCCTCAATTGCTTTAGTGAAAGGAAATACTACATATTAATAGAATTCAGTGATAATTGAATTCTTACCAATTATTTAATTACCAAATGTTCATTAGAGAGATCTCTAAAGCAGTCTTGTAATAAGGAACCAGGAGTAGCATCTATGAAAGTTAAAACTAATATTAAAGAGATGTCTGTCATCTCTTTAAAATAAAAGTTGAAGTACTTAGATTATAAATGTAGGTCCTGGAATAATAATTATTTTTTCTTTTTCTCTAACACTATTTGACATTGTTACATTACAATGTGGTCCCCCGTAATTCCATGTCTCATCAAAGTCATTACAAAATAAGTGAAAATGAATGCAAAAACAGCTGAACAAATAAGTTATTTGGATAGCATCAGTGTTGTAAAACAACTAAATGTTTTGCAAGAGTAGTCTTCATATATGTGTGAACCTCTCTGCCCTGGTTTCAACTCAGTCTTATGCAAAGTGTGTTTCTTCTTCCAAATCAGCTGTTGAACTTTACAATAATTCATATTGATATTTGTGAGATTTTGGTTCTATTTTTAGTGCAGAGATATATTTAATTTTATCTTCTGTTGTGATATGAAAGTGATTGTGTATGGGTGATAATCTGTTCTCAGTAATGATATAAAATTGAGAAAGATTTCATCAATGATCTTTTGCCCTGTTCTCCTCATAGCTTAGCTAAAAATGGACTTACGGATTTCATTTTGGTTGGAACGCCCAAGTGGAATGATATATAGTATTTTGTTATTTTCACTGCTTAATAAATTCAAACATTTTTATCCATATTAATTGATAAAAGGGCAATGGTGAATAAAGTATCATGTATGGTCAGATCACTTCCGAGCCCAATTAAGGTTGATGGCAAAACAACCCAACCCAACCCAAGACCTGCATCTTTTAGAAGGGTTTGCTTCATATACCTGAAAAATTTGGAGGGTTCGTAGAAAGCGGAGCTCCACAGGCACCAGCGTTGGCAACCTTACTCCTGGTTCATTCATTTATGAAGATGACAGACAACAACCACAATCTTCTCTAAATTTCTTTCAGCACAATTTTAATTCCCACCCCATGAAATACAAATTTTATTTCAAATAGTATAAGTTTCACAATGATTGCTCTTTATGAATTAAATTAAGCATAATTCTGTGGAATTGTTTGTCTCTGCAAAAATTCCTCATTTAGAAAATGCTTTTAGTGATTGCTCGTAGTTACAGTTGTGATGAAAAAGTAACTTTACATTACATTTACAATATTCAAAAGAAAACTGAAGTAATATCACAAACATAAGCATAGTTTCACTCAGTGATTACTATTTCACTTAACACCTGTTAGTGAACCGTTGCTAAATATCTATATTTTCTTTTACATTCTTCTTTGCTCTTCTTCTCACTTGATGAGCATCCTCATCCTGTTGATTTTCAAGTGGCTTCTTAAATTTAATATCAAAATAAACAGTGTTCTTTCAAATGCCTGCTTCTATTGTAGGCTATGTGAGCTCATTATGCCTGATAGGTGGTAAATGTTGTGGAGTTCTTTGTACAATCAAAAATTATGCATAGTTCCATTCCAAATCCTTCAATCCACGTTATGTCTGCTTTAATCTCTTCTTTTAAAAAGCCAGAAGTATCCTTATATTAATTGCTAAACTAAAATCAATTTGCACATTAAAACCCCAGGATACCTGAGTAGAGATCAATAGCTTCATTGTGCTATTAAAGAAAATCTCTGATAATCCACATTTTAACAAAATAGCAATTATTCTTTGTTTTCTGTCCTTTTTTTATTTCGATAGCAAACTAAAATGTGTAAAAACAGAAATAAACATGGCCTTAATTTGTAGCCATTCCTATTAAACCTGACATTCAATGAATAATAATTATTATTTACTCTTGTAACAGCCTTCTATTCTCCATACCTATTCATCAAATAAGAAAGGAAGAAAGGTGAGAAGAAAAAAATGCTTGCGCTTCAGTCTAATGATTCACTATTCTATTTCTACAATAAATGAAATTAGATACAGAATGTAGTTGAATCCTCTCTGATCACCAGAATCCTGCAAATGAATACTTTTTACATTTAAGATTGAAAGATGTAACCCATTTCCTATTCAAATAGTAATCTACTCTAGCACACAATCAAAAGAGTTTAAATAGAATCCAAAACAAAAGGATTACAAGAAACACAGATTAGCATGGGATGCTTACATTTTCTACACAGACAATATTCAATGGCTTGTCAATATTATAGAATAATTAGTTTGATACCTGTGCTACGCTGAGGAAACTATGTGGTTGGGGTTAGTTTTGGGGGAGGAAAATAAGGGGAAGGGAAATTGTGTCTCTGCCTACCAGCATCCATCGGTATTCATCTGGATAGCATCCTGTCAGTGTATGACAGAGTTGAGGGTTGTTTGGAAAGTGAAGCAGTATTTGCTGTGTGAGCAAGAAGGAGACAGCAAGGAGCCTGGGTGTGGCTTAGCTCAACTGTTCTGTACTAAAGCTACTTGGTGCTGTGAAATTAAAACTGAAACTCCTCTGCTTGTGTTTTGCATTTGGAACAGACTTCTTTTCAGGTGAGGAGGGGGAGTAGAACTCCTTACCATCAGAGTGTGTTAATAATAATATATGAAATATTAATGCTCTGATGGTCATTTCGAAAAATCCTTTCTTAGTGAGCACTTAGAAGCCAAGAGGAACATACGTGCCAAATTTCAAGTTTGTAGACTTTATGGTTCTGGAGATTTTGTGATGATGCATGAGTGCATTTTGCTTTTATATATATAGATTAGCTGTAGCTTTATCCAAAGCCCACAAACAAACTGCATTTTCTCTCTACCATACATTTTCATTTCCTCTCTCCAACTTCTTTCCTAGTTCCAAAATTTCATTTATTTTAACTCCTTTTCCCTAGCATATATTTTTTCATCCAACAGATAAAGGAATGACAATATGCCCCTCTGACACATCAAATAAATAATAGTAGTAACAACAACAATAATAGTGATACACATTAGCAAAATCTAGGAAGCTTCTAATGGTATTTGCATGCCAGTATGGTATGACAAATACAACAAAATCAAAATTAGTTTCATAGAAGTAAATATAGCTGTCACATCACAAATGAATTGCCAAAGAAACTGCTTTTGAAAAAATAATGAAGTTTGCTGATGTTAATATGCACCACCCCTTCCACCAATTATTTTATTTTCCCCAGGACATCTTTCTTCATCAGTTAATCCATGAAAAGCCTCGATTATCGGAGACAAGGGAAGACACTTGTATCAATGCTTGAATCTTAACTAGAGCAAAGTAATGCAAATGGGAATCTGGATGTTGTATACAGATACAAACGAAACCTTAAATAAAATTTCAACTGATAATATTGAAGAGTACAACAAATAATTAAATCTATATTCATATTACAAGAGAACTATAATTAAAAATAAACTCTAATCAGCCAAATTTGTTTCAAAATCAATGACAACAAGCATAACAATAAACCAAATCCCCAAAATAGAATAGTTTTAAATTTCTACATCATGAACATAAATCCAGTAGCCTTAAAAATGCTTTGTTTGGAAACACAGGGTCAGAAGATTCAAGAAATGGGGAAAAAATATCCCTAAGGCCATGGAACCAAATTCAACAGCTATCTGATATTTGGGTTTTAGTTGAAGTAAGGTCTTGTTTGGGTTTAACAGAAATTGCTCGTCACCAGTGAAATAGAAAGCATCTAAAGTTATTTCATTGAGTTTAACATCAACCTCACTATGATTTCTCAAAAATATAAGGAACAGAAAAAGATGACAGCATTTCTACTTATGAAGAAAAGTTTGCTAATGTTCACGAAGTCATTTAATTATAGTTCATCATTATAAAAATAAAATCTGTTTCTATAATCAGTATCAAGTTGTTGGACTAGCTTTGATATAAATGCTTATCACAAATGAATTCCCAAGAAAAATGTTTTGAAAATTCAATGTATCTAAAAAGCAATGGATGTATTTTATTAAAAATTGGTATTTTTACTTCTTATACTCTCAGTGTGAAATGAAGCTTAGGGAAGCCCAATTCATGGATTTCATACAATCAGAGGTTAATCCAATTGAAAATGCTAACAGCTGACTGAAGGTAAGAAACATGCTTCTGTTATCATTAGCTGTAGTATGTGCATATATGTATGTTCAGCATCTCTAAAATCTATACACAAAATACAGTAATCATTTAATCAATCTCAACCAGCCCTTTATGACTGGGGAAAACCTGGCACATAAAAAGAAAAATCTCAACGGCTTTTCCAATAAAGGACTAAGACAATCTGATTGCAATCACAATATTTAAAATATATTTCTTTCTGGATGAAGACAAAGCCCAACCTTCTAGCCTTCAATATACAAAATTTTAAGTATTCATATTATAATTCTAGAGTAACTCTAATAAACTTGATACCCTAATAAACTATTTTAAAAATATTATTTAAAAAAACACTTACCACGCAAGACAGTAAGTCTTGTGGACACACTTATTTCTCCAACACTGTTAGATGCAACACATTCATAAATAGCTTCATCTCGTGGAGTTCGCAGTGGTTGTATTCTGAGGACTGATCCAGATCCATCATCAAACTCTATTACCTATTGAAGGAAACAACAGCTGTCACAGGTGTTGTTACAAACACCTACCTCTTTGATTAATTCCATATAAAATAACTGGACTATTCTAAATTCTTACTATGTAACTGTTTGCAATTCATAAAAGTGGTGTTTTAAGTATAGTTAAGAGCAAAAATTAATGTTACTGAAACCTGCTGATCTTTGACCTGAATACAACAGGACAATGATTTCAAACTACATCAATATCCTGAATCTTGAAAATATATACTAGATACTTTGGATCAGCTGGCAGCAACAAATTAAAACCCCTGAGGTGAACCTGACCATAATATTCAGGGAGTTTCAGGCAGTAATCAGATTGTGACACTATAAATGGATCTCAGTTTTCCTCAAGACATCAACTCTGAGGACATATTAGGGCTACCATATCTGGATGTCAAGAGTTCATATGAATGGTAAATGGCAATAAAGAGATAGAGAAAACACTTTTAAAACATTACTGTCATCTAATGGTTGCATGGATTTTTGCAGCCGATAATATAGTACTCCTAATAATATTCCATTCAAATTAATATGTAATTAATGTCTGAAGGCAATGAAATTCCACAGATAACTCTTATACAAAGCATTATAAAATTATTTGACAAGACACAGACTATAACTTGCTAATGCATCTTGCAGAAATGGGTATTCAATTATCAAAACAATCGTTATTATTTGAACCTTTAACTACTGGGACAGAGAACATTACCTTTCAGTTTCCTAGTACCTCAGTTTTGCTTATTAGAACAAATGAAATGCATTTCCATTAAGATAACTTTATTGTTTAACAACACTGAGAAACCTTCACACTTATGGATGTTCACCAGATTTTTTTTTTTACATATATAGACTGATCTCTAAAACATATTTGATACCTCTGTAGAACTTGATCTAAGTTCAAACACTACTAGGAGTGAGTGAGGAAGGTGATTGGCTTAGATGACTGTGCTGGGGCACTGAATGCTACTCAGAAGCATCTCAAATCAGGTTTATGCTTCTCTACCCTCATTTGTCTCTGGGTGAATGTTATGGATTACACTACATTGGGAAAGGAGGAGGTACCAAAGGGAAGCTGATGGGAAAGACAGGAGAAGGCAGGAGTAAAGGATGTGGTCACAGGTATGGGTAAATAAGATGAGAGATAAGGGGCAGCCCATTTCTGGGGAAGATGGACTTATTGCTTAAGGCTTATACCGTCTATGGAGATTCTCAGTCACCCAGGTCATGATTGTCCCAAAGGTGCTTTTTCAAGAGGCAGCTGGACTTTCTGGTTTTTCTTTGAAGATGTTTCACTGATGATCCAAGAAGACTCTTTAGCTGAAAAAGTTTCTTGGATCATAAATGAAACATATTTAAAGAAAAACCAGAAAGTCCAGCTACCTCTTGAAAAAGCACCTTTGCGATAAGGCTCATACTGGTTTCTGGCCACCTGCGCTCAGTCCAAGGTTCTGATTTCAGAATTTCAGTGGCTCTAGACTCTGGGTGATTGGAAGCAACCCAGAATTCGAAGTAAGCTGAGTGGCTATTTAAATGCATAATAAATATTTAAATATATTAATGGCTCTTTCTTCTATCAACATTAACAAATGACCCTATTTAAATGTGATTTCTGTTTCTATATGTGATTTCTGTTTCCTCAAATAACCTTCTAATGTGTCTGTTTCCAGACAATTAGAAGACATCTCTGTTGTGCTTTATTATTACTAAACTTTGCTGCTTGCACCAAATCTGGAAAAAATATTGTTGCAAGATTCCCATGAAATGGAATTTTCATTGAACACAGAGGACAGGTGTCCAACAGAGATTGGCAAGTTTTACCCAAACAGAATAAGAACATGGCAGAAGACTGGTGACTTATAAGACACTTTTTCCTTTTTGCACTTGTAAAATATAGCTGTGTAGAAAAGATTACTTAGCTAGCTAAGGTATTTTTGCATTTAACATAAGAAAACTTAAGCTTTGTATTGTAAATTTCTCCACACAGGGACTTCGAAAAAATTATATAGCAAGTTAAGCAGATTGAAGCACTATATCATAAAATATTCTCACCTGAACCTTTTATCTATATACCTATTTGCAGCAATTAAGATAAAGGTTTCTTGATTTTTCTAAAGTAATATCTACTTGAGAAGAAGAAGGAAAGCTGCATACTAAAAATAATGTTTCCCATAAAAATATTCTTAGCAATAAGTCAACTGTCTGAGTTACAAAGTATGCTATCAGACCATCCTGTGGTCTTGTCTGCAACAGACAGTGTCATATTTAAAATATCTCTGGCTGAGGGGGCATTGTCTGAAAATTATGTTCAGGTCATTGATGAAGTATGCTACCAAAGTTGTTGCAGTTGTTATTGTTTGTCCTTTATCCTTTTCATTTCTTCAAGGAAAGCATGCAAGGCTGCAAAAGCCAAAGATATTTTGAACTTCAGAGTAGACCCAAAGTTCCATACAAAATGTTGCACTGTCTGTTTCAGTTGCTGCCACTCCTGGAAAGCTGAAGAAATGTGTATTGCTATACCTTTCTTCCTTTGTAACGCCATAACTCTTAACACATAATTTTTGGCCTTTTGCTCTATTTCAGCCTATTATGTCTGAATCTTAAAAATGTATTGGATGCCCACCAGATGGCAATACAATCTTAAACCCTTAAAGATACATAAACATAAACAACAAAGGTCAAACTGCTTCACTGTAAGGAAATTTTGAAAAATTTTGAGGTTACTGTGTTAGGGATTCTAGAAGTTTTGGTTACCTAAATATTTGAAGAATAATTCTTATTTTGTGCCTATAGGTACAGATAAGTCCTTGACTTATGATCACAATTGAGCGCTAAATTTAGTTTGCTAAGTGAGACATTTGTTAAGTGAGTTTTCCCCCATTTGACTATCTTTCTCGCCACCGTTGTTAAGTGAATCACTGCAATTGATAAGTTAGTAACCTGGTTGTTAAGTGAATCTGGTTTCCCCTTGACTTTCTTTATCAGAAGATCTCAAAGGTGACACAGCAACGGTCATAAATATGAACCAATTGCCAAGCATCTGAATTTTGATCACATGATCATGGGGACAGTACAAAGGTCATAACTGTGAAAAACAGTCATAACGGTCATTTTTCAGTGCCATTGTAACTTTGTACAGTCACTTAATGAATTGATGCATGTTGAGAACTACCTGTAGTCTTCAATTTACAATCATTCATTTATCAACAATTCAAAGTTACAGCAGCACTTTAAAGAGTGACTTATAACCAGTCCTCATACTTACAACCACTGCAGCATTCCCACAACTAAGACATCAAAATTTGGGTGCTTGGCAATTGGCAAGTATTTTTTATGACAGTTGTAGTGTCATAGAGTCATGTAATTATCATTTGCCACCTTCTAAATTAGCTTCTGATAAGCAAAACCAATGGAGAAAACCAGATTCATTTAAGAATCACATGATTCACTTAACAAATTGTAATGGTTTGTTTTAACAACAATGGCAAAAATGGTCATAAAATTGGCCATGACTCTTTTAACAACTGCCCTGCTTAGGAACAGAAATTTTGGTCCCAATGGTGCTCATAATTACCTGTACTTTCGTTACATAGAGCACCCATTCCAGCTTTTAATCAACACAACACTGCAGAATAGTGAATATCCAGCTTTGAGCAGTCAAGATTCTTAATCTATGTTCTATATAAACTTGGTTCAATTACTGCTTTACAAATTTTGTCTCATACTTTTGATAACTGCAGTGGGGTAGAAAACTGGAAATTTGTTCTGTCACAGAAGACCGTAAATTTACTCTGACACTGCCTAAGGAAGTATAGCGTGTAAAAGCACATGCAATTTATACTGAGTTGCTTTCAGGTACGCACCATCCATACACATATCCGTTCAATTTTGGATAATGTTTCCACATCCAACAAAGGGATAGGTAACAGAAAGCTTCTATCATGCTTGACCTTTGCTTGACTATGCATGGAAGCAGGAATTAATGGTTCGAAGGGAAACCTGATTCAAAATGTAAGCATCAGAGAATCCTATCCAAGTCTTCACCTTAACAACCAACAGGCTGACAAGTTTCTATTCAAGATTGTGTTATTGTATACATAATGGTCCCATACTTATTCAGAAGCTATTGAATCAGTGATGGGATTCAATTTTTTTTTACTACCGGTTCTGTGGGCGTGGCTTAGTGGGTGTGGCAAGGGAAGGATACTGTAAAATCTCCAGTCAGAGGTGGTATTTGCCGGTTCTCCGAACTACTCAATATTTCTGCTACCGGTTCTCCAGAACTGCTGAATACCACCTCTGTATTGAACCTGTCTCTATGGAAATTCTCAGTCAATCAGGTCATGGTTGTTCCAAAGGTGCTTTTTCAAAAGGAAACTGGACTTTCTAGTTTTTTCTTTGAAGACATTTCGCTTCTCATCCAAGAAGCTTCTTCAGCTTTGAGCTAAGAGCTGAAGAAGCTTCTTGGATGAAAAGCAAAACATCTTCAAAGAAAAACCCAGGAAGTCCACTTGCCTCTTGAAAAAGCACCTTTGGGACTATTCAACCTGTGACATTGCAGTTTTAAAACCTATTGATTTCTCCCTGTCTCTAGGAGTCATGCTAGATAGATGAAGAAAAGAAAAAGATTCAGTACTGACTAACATGGGTTCTATTATATCACATATTTTTATCAACTTTTGTTCTCCATTATCTTAGCAAAGATGGGTTATCTCTCTCTTCTAGATAGTATGATCAATCATATGCTACTCACAGTTATACATAAATAACAATTATTTTCACCTGGTTTATATCTTGACCCTTTAGTCTGGCAAAAATAAAAAATATTGATTATAACTTCAACACTGTTGGGAAAAAAATCCATGGTATGTATAAGGTATGTGCAGGGGTGGGATTCAAAAATCCCAACAACCGGTTCTGTGACTGGTTGCTGGGTGGACATGGCCATGGTGGGTTTGTTCTACCAGAACTTCTGGGAGGACCGTTTTTCACCTTGCCCAGAGTCTGGAACTTTTCTTTGGGCCTCTCGGAGGGTGAAAACGGTCTCTCCTGGGCTCTGGATGCCCTCCGGAAGGTGGAAACAGGCTTGTTTCTGGACTTCTAGGAGGACCCCTTTTTTTTGCCCTCCAAGAGCCTCTGCGCAGACCCTGCACTAATCTGCATCCAAAATGAGCCGCATGGAGAGGGGAGGGGAGGGGTGGGTGGGGCCAGCCGGTCAGTTCAACTACTGGTTCGGCGAACCAGATGTAAATTTAACATCCAGTTTTCCAGAACCGGCCTGAACCAACTGAATCCCACCCCTGGGTATGTATAATAGTATGTATGTGTGTGTTTGTGTGCATATGAAACAATTATTATGTGAAGTATATAGGTAGATTTTATACTCAAGAAGCCACATGCATTTTTCTATCTCGATTAAAAACAACAAAAAGATAATAGTCACATAAAAAAGCCCTGCTAAAATCTTTTGAACGATATAGTAGATGAAAAAAAAAATCTTCATTCCATATTTCATGAAGCCAAAAAATGTACCATTAAATGATGAAGGATACAGTGTTTATTTTGTCAAAAATCTGAATGTTTCTGATACTCAGCATATAAATTAAATAGCTGCAAGTTACAGTTACAAATACAAACTATTGATTGCATCTAAGAAGAGAATATACATGGAAAGATTAGAGAGCTGCCACATTTGTTTTGCTTGGAGACACATATGCTTTCTCTGAAAACATGCAAATATCATTACACGTATTTGTTCAATTAGTTAAAAAATATCAATACACATAAATTACATTATCTAGAGCTGAAAAAGATCAGGCATTAATGAATAGTTGTGACAGTTCAGATTTATTGAGGAAAGAAATACTTAGTAAAAATGTTTAATTAATTGAAAGAGTTGCCAACAGGTACCATGTACAATCCCATGCATGCTCCAAAGCACACATTTTCTCTTTGACTCCCAAGTGCAGTGCAGTCCCAGTAAAGAAGAATTATTCAGGCATATTTTAATTCAATTCTTTTTAACAGTTGAAGCATGATTTAAATGTAGGATCCATAGTGTAAAGACTCATGGGGACACAGATAGACATTCAAGAAAACTTTCATCAACAGAATTCATAACAATGCCAGGTCAAAAAAAGGGAGAGAATAGAAAGGAAAATCCAGCATTTAACTATGGCTCTATGTTAGTGGCTCTCCACCCATTATTCTGATGTATTACAAAATACAACAAGACATAGTGTTTAGTTAATTTGGTTATTATAACATATTGTGAACTGCACATTCTCATAATTCTCCTGAGTGAGGTTAAAATCTAATTACTATGCCTGATTTTAGGATCAGGATATTTATTATGGGTGCTATTTATAGAGGCTTTAACAGACAAAAAATAAAACAATTGAATTCCAACTCTGATTATCTGTTATCTGACAATAGGACATTAAGAAAAATGATTGAACAGATATTTTAGACATTCATTTCAAGTTGCAAGGAAAGCATTCCTGTCAAACAGACAACAAATGGTCAAAATTGGGAGCGTCCTGTCAAATTCTGTATCTGTCAACAGTGGTGTCCCCCAAGGTAGTGTTCTAGGACCAACTCTTTTCATACTCTACATAAATGACCTCTGGGATCATATCAAGAGTAACTGCATTCTCTTCGCTGATGATGTAAAGCTATTCAACACCACTGACAATACTTCTACTCTTCAAAAAGACCTTGACTATGTATCAGAATGGTCAAACAAATGGCAACTTCAAATCTCAACAAATAAATGCTCTGTCTTACATATTGGCAAAAAAAAAAAAAAAAAACAGAAAATAAAATACAAGCTGAATAGTCAAGACCTTGTTGATGATCCAAGCTCTGTAAAGGACCTTGGAATACTCATTCTAATGATCTAAGCGCTAGAGCCCACTGTAACTACATAGCCAAAAAGGCATTAAGAGTTGTTAGCCTAATCTTACGTAGCTTTTTCTCTGGTAATATTACACTACTAACTAGAGCATACAAAACATTTGCTAGACCAATACTCGAATACACCGCATCAGTCTGGAACCTGCATTACATATCTGATATTAACACAGTTGAGAAAGTCCAGAAATATTTCACAAGAAGAGTTCTCCACTCCTCTACTCGTTGCAGAATACCTTATGCCACCAGACTCGAAATTCTAGACCTAGAAAACCTAGAACTACACCGCCTTCGGTCCGATCTAAGTATAGTATATAAAATCATACATTGCAATGTCCTACCAGTCAATGAATACTTCAGCTTCAACCATAACAATACAAGAGCACACAATAGATACAAACTCAAGGTTAATCGCACCAAACTTGATTGGAAGAAATACACCTTCAGCAACAGAGTGGTCAATGTCTGGAATACTCTACCTGACTCTGTGGTTTTTTCCCCCAAACCCCCAAAACTTTAACCTTAGACTGTCTACTATTGATCTCACCCCTTTCCTAAGAGGTCTGTAGGGGGCGTGCATAAGCGCACCAACGTGCCTACCGTCCTTGTCCTATTGTTTCTTTTATATTATTTTTATTTTTCTTATATGTATCCGTGCATTCATAACTATTTTTTCACTTATACCTATTATCTTGTAAGCAATTGACAAAAATAAATAAATAAAATAAAAAATAAATAAAAGATTAAAATAAAGTTTATTGGGAAAAACAATAAGAGTTGGTTTATGGTTGAATAAAGCAGAGCTTGCAGCTGTTGAGAACTTTTTTTTTTTTTTTTTTTAGTTTGAGGGAGCCTCTCTGAAAAAAAAAAAAGATCTCGAAGCTAAAACTGGTGGTCAACTTAGCATAAAGTTATAGTGGTGAAGAGGTAATAAAATGCCAGTAGGATTCTGTAAGTAGTCTGGCGGAAGAGAGATTTTAGGCAAAGAGATCTAAAAAGTAAATCAACCTGAAAATCAAGGGCAATCAAAAGGACGGAGGAAGCAAAATATTGTTTCATATTGATTCTGTTTGGGGGGAATATGACTACATTCAGTTTAGGGAAATCTGGTTTCAGAGAAGAAAAGATTGAGATATTTCTTAAATGTAATCAATTATATCTTATCATATAAAATCTCAGTAAAGTTTAGATACTCCAAAGGGCATGCAGAATAAATAGTCTATGGCAGTGATGGTGGCCCTGAGTGCCCAAAGCACATGCGCACACACATACCCAAATTTCAAGGCATACCCCTGCACATGTGTGTGCCCCCTGCGCATGTGCCCCCTGCATGCGCCCTGCCCCCCATGCATACGTGGCAGAGACCAGCTTGCCGGTGGGAGGCACACACACATAGGTTCACCATCACGGGTCTACTGCTACATTGAAGAACTACACTCATAAGAGTTGTGGAGTTTTGTTTTTGGTCTGATTGATGGTGCATTGTAAATTTCATTAAAAAATAGCAGGGGTTTTCACAGTCCCAACATTTTTAAAAGGGGCATCTATATTGATATTAAAGGCAAAATAATCAAGAACATAGGCGGCATTTTGAATGGGAAGCATAATGTATTTATACTATTCTTTCAACCCATCTATTTTCATTTTAGTTATCAACATGCATGTTTTGTCATCAGGAAACAAAGAGCATTACTAACATTTTTGTTCTAATGCATTTATTTTATTTATTGACTTCATTATTTTCTGCTTTTTAAAACAAACCCTCAAAGCATCTATTTATTGTATGAATAAAATTTGATTCTTAATGTATGTTAAAATAACTAACCTTATTATGCCCAGTATCATAATTCTAATCCTTTGGCTGGTTTCTACATAGTACGCCTAATGATGACCTTAGGAACTATGTACATATTTTTATGTGATTAATCTACAGGTTTGTCAATAATAACTGGTTCCTACATAAATAGGGAATATTAAAAAAAATTACACAGCACATCTTTGTAGGATCAAGAGCTATAACCCTACAAATAAAAATGAAATTCTTCTTTAAGCCTGAAACAAATCATTTTTTTCCAAAAGACGACAGTAAGCATCACTGCTGTTGTTTAAGATTATACTATTCAGAAACAAAAGGGAATAATCAAAGAATATTAATGTAAATGGTTTTCAGAGGAACAGAACAATGGACCTAATACCTCAAATCTCTGATTGCTGACTTTTTTGCCCTTCTTATTCCAGACAATTTTAGGCCTTGGGTCTCCCGTTGCTTGACAGATGAATGAGGCGACTCCTCCAGAGACCCCTGTCTGGTCAAGAGGTGTTCTTGCAAACTTTGGTGGTGCTAAAAAAAGAAAGAGTAAAATAAATTTTAGCAAGAGCTCACCAAAAGAATATGTCAGGATGTCAAAAATATTAAGCCAAAACAAATAATATTTACTTTCAGAGCAAAGTTTGGAAAGAAAAGGCAAGCTGATATACAGATAGTCCTTGATTTTTGACTGGTCATTTAGTAGCCCACTTCCACAGTTTTTCCAGTCACTCCTCCAGTCACATGATCAAGTTTTGGGCGTTCAGCAACTGTCCCACATTTTCAGCTGTTTGTAATCATGTGTTCATGTTTTGTGTCATTTTTGCTGAAAATTGGCATTTACTTCCAGTTTTCAGCAAAATAGTCCACAGCAAACAATTGGTTTGCTCAATGATATGGTGTTTGCTTAATGACCATTGCAAAAAAGGTTGTAAAATCAGGTCAGTAATGTGGGTGATCTGCTTTACAACTGTCACAACTTGCAATTATTAAGGAACAGGCTCCATTAGGATCATAAATCAAGAACTACCTATAACACAATGAGCTACATTATAATATGCCAGTTCCGGGCAGTATTTAACATATTATCATATCGATATTGTCAGAAATCTTATACATATACATATATAATGCATAAACTAGAAAAAAAAATCAAATTGCAGTTCCCTACTTGTTGTACAGTCTTCGGTTATAAAATCATAATCAATGTGCTATATTTTAAAATATCATACAAATGTAAAATCAAAATTTTATAGCAAAGCTTTGCTGAAATAATTACCCAACTTAGAAAACTGTTCTCCAGAAATATTTGATTTGCTCCATGAACCATTTCTATCAAAACCAGAAACCATGTGTAGCAAAGACTGCAATTAACAAATTAATAGATGGTAACTGTAGCCAGAAATGAGATTATGGGCAACGTATTAATGTGCAAAGGCATCACAGCGACAGCAAAAGTGAGAACCATCAAGGCATACTATTTTCCCTGTTGTAATACTGTATATGGCTTTGAAGGAACAGCCATCAGAAAGTTTAAATAAAGAAAAACAGATGTCTTTGAAATGTAGTATCAGAGAAGATTGTTAAGAATAAGTTGGACTATAAGGAGAACAAATAATTCAATACTACATTAAATAAAATCAAACTGTTCACTGGAAACACTAATAATGAAGCTAGAGCTATTTTGAAGATGTAATGGGAAGGCAAGATTATTTGTGAAAACCTTAACATTTGAAAAAATGAAAGGCAATCAAAAAGAGGTCAATAGAAGACAAAATAGATAGATGCTACTATGAGCTTAAAATAACTGAAAGAGCAACTACTAAAAAAAACCCACTCCTGATGTCTGTTCTTGGGTCATGAGTTGGAAATGATTGAATGGTTGACCAACAACAAACTTCAGCCTCAAAAAAACAATGTGTTATCAAGTTATATCTGAATTACATCTGCAACACTTACCCAAGAGGGACAAGTTAACAGAAGGTAGACTGATACATAGGAATGATTTTGCGTTAGAACTATGCAGGCCTCACAACCTTTTTGTGGTGATTGTTGTTATTAAAACTTATATTGATTGATCTACTACTAGGCAAGGATCTAGTCAGTGGACAACAAAACTGCTGGATGTTTTCTACTCAACTGTGGACAGAAGAGGAAGATCTTGGAGTCCACTACAATTATGTTGAAATCGTTTTCACATGGTCATGAAGAAAACAGTGTGATATCAGTACAGGCCATGACCAAAACAAAAGAGGGATGGAAAATATCATTATCACCCAAAAGAGAATGGTTCTATAATAGTGTGTACATAATCAGAAGAAAGAGGTACAAGAATTTGAATCTTAATTTTACTATAAATAGAACTTGAATCTCTTACATTGAAGCCAAAAGAATTATTTTGTAATGGATTCATTATTTTTTCTATAATAAAACATTTAAGAAGCTCTTACAGTATACGCTAACAGCATATGGTGGTGCAATGGCTCAGCAGTTAAGAGTGTGGACTTGTTGGCTGGAAAGCCGGCAGCCCAGGTTCAAGACCCCAGTGCCATGCAATGGGGTGAGCTGCTTTCCTAGCCCCAGCTCCTGCCAACCTAGCAGTTTGAAAACATGCAAATGCACATAGATAAATTGATACCACCCCTATAATTGGCAACAACTAGCTGAGTAAAATTTGCTTTACCTTTTTCTTTTTTTTTACAGTACATGCTTAGTGCTAATTTATCTACTTATAGTTTAGTTTGCCAAGGGAAGCCTACAGTTGAAATCAATAAAATAAGGCCCATTTATGATTCATTGTGGAACAGAAATCCGAGTCCTTGAACCGTACTGAGTCCCCACTTCTGGAGACAGAACTGCCAAATTCCTGCCTCAAGATTTTGCCTAGTGCCTCAACTGCTACATCTAAAAGTTAAGGGGAAAATAAAGCTGAAAGCAAGATCACAAACAAAAACATCACTTCTAGGGCAAGAAGTAACTATCCATATCCATATACCTGATCCAATCACACCAATTATAAAACTAAAATAACTGAAAGAGCAACTACTAAAAAAAACTTGCAATATTTCATATTATGTCAGTTCAAGATAACATGAATTATATATTCATGATACTGTAAGTAGGCCTTTTACTGGGAAAAGATACAACTACTAAAGAAGGTGCAGGCAAATTCTGTTTCTAGTACCCATATATCTTGAAAATGATTCTGAACACTTTATTATTTATTTAGCATATGGCATTCTGAACATTATATATCCTTAGCACCTGACAAGATGGAATGGATAAAAATTAATCAAGGAAAGAAGCAACCTAGAATTAAGGAGAAAATTAACTACAAATATAGCAAGTACAAGCTAACTGCAAACTTAGTGCCAGTCTAAAACTTTGCATACTTAATCGATTTTACAAGGGATGGAAAATGGTTACCTCAAATGCAACTACTTAATTGGAATCATAGAATGATAGAGTTGGAAGGGACTTTGGAGGTCATCTAGTCCAACCCCTGCTTGAGCAGGAGAGTCTATTCCAAATATTAGCCTCGACCTAGGATCGAACTCACAGCCTCCTGATTGTCAGGTGAGAGCTCCACCTCTAGGCTACCAGAGTTGTATAAATTAACAATTAATAACTTTTACATTTATAAATACATCAATTTTTGTGTGTGGAATTGATAATTAATTTGAATATTTTATTTTCAAAACTGATAAGAAAATCAAGGCTAATACCAATAAGAATCAAGATCAAATTTTCTGTTAATTAACAGTACTGGGCCAATGTAAGATCTGGAAAACATGTTTTTTCCCTTTCAAACAGTGATGTGTGTTTAACATAGTTCATTAAAATAGTTTTTTTTTTATCAATGTGAAAACATTCTAAAACTATATATCCTACCAACAGACAGAATGGACTCCAGTAAACACACAGCATATGCCTATACAGTGGTGGGATTCAAATCTTTTTTTACTACCAGTTCTGTGGGTGTGGCTTGGTGGGCGTGGCAGGGGAAGGATACTGCAAAATCCCCATTCCCTCCCCCACCCCACTAACCTGCTTTCCAGCTGTTCTCCTATTGCAGGGCAACAAAAGAAGACCCAGCCGATCAGCTGGGACTCGGTAGGCAGAGAATAGATGGGGACAGGGCCAGTCAGAGGTGGTATTTGCTGGTTCTCGAACTACTCAAAATTTCCACTACCAGTTCTCTAGAACTGGTCAGAACCTGCTGAATACCACCTCTGTGCCTATACATATAATAGGCATATGCTATGTATATGTATGAGTGTGCCCATATACCCACACATAGCATATGCCCATGAATTGATAGCTAGTTGAGATAATAAATACACTTCAGTGAAGTTTATGACAAAGAGAATCCTTGTTTGTAAAGTTAGACTTAAATTTAAATAATGCATACTTGTGGATTATATAATATGCAACACTAATTCTGAATGGATGATGAAAATCCTTTATAAATATATACATAAAAGTAGATTAGTATTATCTGCTTGTCATAATTGTGATTTTATTTCATTCAGAGAAAGCAGAATTAATTGGGGCCGGGGGGGTCCTGGTTTATAGTAACTACTGGATTACACGCATTTTTAAACTAATAGAGAAAAACCCATAGAATATTTTATTTAGATAAATACATGAAGTCCCATTGAGAAAACAGATTTTTGGGAGACTGAATTGTTCCACGTCCCTTCTATATTTCAAGATACAGTATTTAAAACTAGGTATATTTAAGTACTTAACTTAAAGTGAATCACTGTTCCTATGAGAGTTTACATTTTTATTAAGACTAGAATTTAAGTACTTAAAACATGTTTTATTTCTGTGATCTTTTTCATCATAATTCTTATTAGTTAAAATATATTAAAAGACTTATTGTGAGAGGAACATGATCCATGATCCAAAAAATCCCTGAAGGAGTTTTTGACAGCTGCTCTTCCCCTGAGTCAGACGGGCTTCCAATCATTTTGGAATTATTTGGGAGGAGCTCAGGGATAAGTGGGCAGTGAATTCCACTGCTTTCTTTTGCAGGCAGCAATCTTAAATATTTAGATGACTGAGAATCTCCACAAACATTAACGGATGCGCTCCATGTTCTGTTGCTTTTCTTTATCTTAAATCATTTTCTTTTGAATATAAAGATGGCATTCATCTTTACATCCACCTACATATACTGTCAGAACATCCAATATGGAAACATGCAACATTGCAGCCATGGGAATTTGTAGCCCACCTTGTTTCTAAATTATAATTCCCAGCTATGAGCTAAAAGTGAGCAGTAAAGCAATATTCTGCTAAGTAGTTTACCACTGCTATTTCTTTCCCATCCTTCCGATGTTGCTCTGTATCTATTTGTAGTTTCTAAGCCCTTTCGGCTACAGATTGTCAAATATGTTCTTTGTAAATAAACAAATCAATAAGAATTACAGATAAGTATTAGGAATTATGCCAAAGTTTTAATATTTCATCTAAGAGTTAATACTACTAGGCATATCCAGCACACTTAGTAGATTTGGTTGCCCTTCATTTCTTTTTAAAATAATTTTCATAGCAGAGTCATTTATAGCATTCACTGCTAATTTACTCATTAATCATAATTTATCACATCAGTTATGCTGATCATCATTATAAGCAATTACTGCTCCTTAATTCTAACCTGTGCTTACAATGTACCTGCAAATTGGCTTGTGCAAGAAGTTAATTAGCTTTTATTTCTAAAAGGGCAAGCAAGTGAGAATGATTTCATAAAATCTTTGTAACTGCTAAACAAAGCTTTCTCTGGATTTTTGCTGAGGGTATAAACTGTCAATCACATACCAAGCCTGACACATTGTTATGAATGTGATTATATTAAGGATAACTCCATTCAGAAATCACCAAACATTCATCCTGAACCTAAATATCTAGGACAGTGGTGGCTAACATTTTTGGGCTCCTGTGCCAAAAATTGCGCGTGCGTTTGAATGCTCATGCTCGTGTGCCAGCACCCAGAAGGCAATGCGTGTGCCCCTTACACCTACCATGCATGCATGCGCAATCCCCACCCCCTCGCCCCCTTACCTGCACTGTGCCTCACAGCTGATTTTCGGCCGGTTTGAGGCCCTTTTCGGCTTGAGGAAGGTTTCTGCAGGCTTCAGCAAGCTTTGCAGGCTGAAAACTAGGCCCGCTTCGTCACTTCTGTCATAGGAAGTGATGAAACGGGCCTAGTTTTCGGCCTGCAAAGCCTCCAGAAGCCTTCCTCAAGCCTTTGGGAGGCCGAAAAAGGCCTCAAACCAGCCGAAAATCATCTGTGAGGCACGCCCATGCACAGTGAGGTAAGTTTGCCTGCAGCTCACGTGCCAGC